CGGGGGTCCGCCCTTCCCGGCGCGGGGGGAGCCCCGGGGCCTCTCGGAGGCAGAGCCCGGAGCTGCGGCACGTCCGAGGATGCGGGCTGGGCAGCGGCGCGGGGAGCAGCGCCAGGTGGCCCCTGCCCATGGCCGGCACCGCCTCCCACTGGGCGACCCGCGGAGGCTCGGCCGTGGCCGGCACCGGGAAGCCCCTTCCAGCCGCTTCCAGCCCTGCCCTCCTGCCCGCCGTGGGGACCAGACGTGCCGGTTCATCGGGGCTCTCTGCAGGCGACTTCTCTGTCCCAGAGTCTCACCGTGAGGGGCTGGTGTGGGGTTTACATCTTGTACTATAATTATTTGTTCCTGTATGTCAGGATGGGTGATTTAACCATCTGGAGCCTGGATTAGGAACTTGAGGAATGTCTTGAGTGCCGGCAAAAATCCAGCAGTTTTAGCTTCTTCCAATCAAGTACAGAAATAGCAGGCTGGCAAGGGGGAAGGGCGAGCAGAGCCAGGCTGATCCACATGGTGCCAGTACCTCTGCTTTCTGCTAAAAGCCAGACAGAGCACAGTCAGAGCAGAGTCCAGCACCACAGGCCATATTTTCTTGATGGAAAGGTCCAGTACCGGATCAGACACACCTCAGTCAAGAGTACAGAACCAAGCTGGAAGTCCCTCTTTTCTCTACAATCTGTTTAAAAATCAACCAACCACAAAAACAAAAAGCAAAAGTAAAACGAATCCAGCTGGAATACCTCTGGGAAAGGAGCAGGATCTTCCATCCTACAGTAGCAGAGCATAGCAGAGAGGTAAACCAGGACCTTTGGACTGGGACAGAACTTTTCTAGATCAGGATTCAGACAGGAAAATGACAACAAAATAAAAGCTCTTCTGAGGTCTTCAGTGCAACTGATGAAAAGGAGGGCTTCTGTCTCCTTAATGACGTAAGTGAAAAAGCAGCAGACCTTCTGCACATTTAAAGGGAATTCCTTGAGCCATTTTTCACTGGTCTAGAGCCTGTCCAGCCTGCTCTCCTGAAGGATAAGAACAGGATATCAAATCCAGCCCTTCTGAGAAGCACTAACCCACTTCACTTATACAACACCACTCCTGCCAAAATATTCCAGGCACTAAACAGTGATTATACAAACAATCTCTTTTTGATTGAAAAACTAAACCTCATCAAAACTTCAAAACAGATGGATAAGCAAAAATATGCTATGCCAACAGAAAGAAACAGCAGTCATTTAAAGATGTCTGTAGGGAGGAGGGAAGCAAGTTTTTAGAGTAAAGAGAGAATAAATGAGCTGAATTTCAGGGGTAACAGGTTCCACTCAGTTGGGGACTGTATCATCTCTGATTCCAGATGCTAGTGGGAAAATGCCAACTGTGAAGTCTAACATGAATGCAATCAACAGGGAGAAGCCCCAAAACTCCTTACCTTAACACCAAACTCCCACTAAATTTGGAAATTGCTGCAAAATTACATGTTAATTTTTCTCCTCTAAGGACTGTTTTTCACTAGTGGTAATGATTTTTTTTTTCAGGGAAATATCTCTGCACATTGCACATATGAGCTAGTGCTGTGCTATAATTGTCACAGAAAGGAAATTAACAGTATTCTAATGAGGAGTTTTGTTACAGACAAATTATCATCTTGCAAGTGTGTGAGAGTCTCTTAATTTAGAATGTCATTTCTCCCCACTGCATACCCTGGTGACGCTACCTTGGGAGACAGTAATTGCTAGATAAACTGGGGGGTTTCTGGGCCACCCCAGAGCAGATGTAGACGGAAGGAAGGACTTCAGACAAAATACAGACAGCAAAGATTTAAGATAATAAACCCCAACCCATTTTCACAGTCATATAGGTAACATATATTCCAAATACTGCAAACAAAATGTAGATGTGCATCCTCCCTGCATTGAAAGTGGCTCAAAAGGTCAGCTCATGAATATGCAATAACCCCCCCTCAAAGTAGGGACCCAGCCAACATCTGCCAGCTAAGCCCTCTGGATCAAATCTAAAGAGTTTGTTCACCAGTCTTTTCTCCACCCAAAGTAGCCCCAAAGGGCTTTTACAAAAATTCCCAATTCTGACTATTTGAACTATGTGGAGAAACCTACCCAGCTTGATTTCCATACCAGAGCTCAGCCAGCTGGCCAGACCTGGGAGGCAACTTCTGAAGGAAAATGCAGCATTTTGGATCAAAACCCCAAAATGCTGCACACAAACACAACCTTAGGAGGAAATTAGATAGCACATACACAGCTGGAACTGGATCAGATTAACTGTCAGATTAACCTCTTCAGACTCATGAAAAAGCTAAAAACTTCTAAGGACCATAGATGGTTTGAGACAGGGTATTAAACTCAAGTCCAAAAGGTAACAGTGGTGAAGGACTCTCTGAGCATCATACTCCTTGTGCTGGGACAACACAAGTTTACCTTTCAGAACCAATATGAATTAGACTATAGATCCTACCATTTGGCTTCTCCCTGACTCAAGGGTACTCTCCCTCCTGAAGTGAAGGAATAGTGAGAAAAAATAAAGTCCAACGTCTTCTGTGATTTCTGACTTGTGTTGAAAGACCATCCTCCTGACCCTCTCTCTTCCATGTTGTACTTAGAACTTTCCAAGTCCAGAACTGAAAAGGCACTCCAGTCTTTCCACCTGCAGCCCTCTTCTGCCATAGTAACTGTCATTGGCTGCACCCGGTTTGAATTGTCTTTTTGGCTGTAGTTAGGAAAATAATTAAATCTGCCATTAACCCTTTTTGGGGAAGCTGTCTTAAAAGGGAGCTCTCCTACTAGGTCAGCTTTGTGGTATTTCAAGATGTGTCTGCTTGTTTTTACCTGTCACTTACTGGGATCACAGCACAGGTTCATTCCTAACAAAGGAATTGTTTGAAATGGAGACCAATTAGTAACTCAAGGTTAATTTCCAACATAAAACCAAGTCTTGCTTACTATTAATCCTGAACTGACAAGCTTTCAGACAAGAGGTCAAAGCTGAGGGGTGAAGGATGTGTCTCCAAGGAAGATGAATCAAGGTCTTTGTCCTCTCAGTGACTTTACACCATGGCTAGGCAATTCACTCATCAGACTGAGCAGAAAGAAATTGAGTCTGGTTGTGGAAAATACAATGAAAGAAGTTGTTAGAAAACTGACAGCACCAAAAGAAAGAAAACAAATCACTGCTGAGAGTAAGTGGACTAGGGTGCTGCTCCTTCTTCCCAGCACTTAATTGCAGTAGATAACTTTTGGACATTCGTTATATACTTCATGAGAAGAATTTCCCCTCACGATAACTCTAATCCTCACAGGATCTAGGAGGGCTTGGCCAGTGGCACCGAGGCTCCCTCAGAGAACACCGATGACCCGCCTGGATGAGGCCACAGCACAGCTGGATAGCAAGACTTATATGCTATTGCCTAAGAAAATTCCTGTCCCCAAACCACGGTGGAAGGCCTGTTTTATATAAGCAGGCAGTGATCCTCTCCGTGCCTCACCTGCGCTGACCGCCTCGGGCCGTGAGGGCGGGCGGGAAGCGCCTCAGGGCAGGGGCGCTTCCCTCAGGGGGCGGCAGAACCCGCTGGACTGACGGGGCCTTTCCAAGCAGGATCTCCCGCTCCCCCTGGGCCGGGCCGGGCTGATGGGGCCTTTCCATGCAGGATCTCCCGCTCCCCCCGGGCCGGGCCGGGCTGATG